GATGATGCTGCTGCTGCTGCTGCTGCTGATGATGATGATGATGATGATGGTGATGGTGATGGTGATGCTGATGGTGGTGGTGCTGGTGATGGTGATGCTGATGGTGGCGATGATGAGGATGACGACGGTGATGATGATGATGATGATGATGATGATGATGATGCTGCTGCTGATGATGCTGCTGATGATGAAGGTGGTGAGTCACGATGATGATGATGATGATGATGATGATGATGATGATGATGATGATGATGATGATGATGATGATGATGATGATGACGGTGATGATGCTGCGGATGATGATGGTGATGTTGGTGTTGATGCAGATAGTGGTAGTGATGACAGGTAGTTATGATGGTGTATGGCAATGATTATGGTGATGCTGCTGCTGATGGTGATGAGGATGAGGAATAACATAATGATGGTAATGAGGATGATAGGGGCGATTGGGGATGACGAAGATGAGGACGAGGAGGATGTGCTGCTGATGATGATGGTGATGATGATACTGGTGCTAATGATGATTATGATTATGCTGCTGATGCTGATGATGTTGATGATGCTGATGACGATGATGGTGATTTTGATGGTGATGAGGATGAGGATGCGGGTGTGGATGATGATGGGTATGCTGACGATGAAGATAACGATGCTGATGCTGATGATTAGGATGATGACGATGACGCTGCTAATGATGATGCTGATGATGATGATGATGATGATGAGGATGATGGTTATGATGCTGACGCTGCTGACGATGATGATGTTGATGATGACGATGATGATGCTGATGCTGATGACGATGACGATGATGATGATGATGATGATGATGATGATGATGATGACGATGAGGATAATGAGGATGCGTTGGATGGGGAGGAGGGGGCTGATGATGATGCTCGTGCAGTCGTTCATACTTGTTGTGGTGACTATGATGCTGCGGAGGGCGAGGTGGAGGAAGCGAGGGAGGGTGGGAGGGTGGATGACGATTCTGATGATGACGATGACGACGACAAAGGTACTGATGATGAGGGGGAGTCTAATGATTGTCGAAAGGATGATGTGGATGCGCAGAGATGCCAATGACGATGACGATAATGATGACGATGCGGATGCTGCTGATGATGACGATGATGATGATGACGATGATGATGATAGTGGTGGGAATGGCAATGCTGATGATGGTGATGATGATGATGATGATGATGATGATGCTGAAGAGGATGATGATGATGATGATGATGATGATGATGATGATTATGATCATGATGATGCCAGGAATGATGTGATGACGAAGGTGGTGATAGTGATGATGCTGATGATGTTGCGGATGCTTGGTATGGTGGTGATGGCGACGATGGCGACGATGGCTACGACGATGATGCTGATGCTGATGATTACGATGATACTGCTGATGGTGATGCTGCTGCTGATGATGCTGCTGATGATTATGGTGGTGATGGTGGTGGTGGCTTTGGTGATGATGGTGGTGATGTTGGTGGCTTTGGTGATAGGTGCGGTTGGTGATGACGATAATGACGGCAATGATGATGTTGCTGATGATGATGCTGATGATGAACATGATGATGGTGATGCTGCTGATGATGATGATTCTGATGATGATGGTGATGCTGATGCTGATGATGATGCTGATGATGATGATGCTGATGATGATGATGATTGTGACGGTGGTGGTGGTGGTGTGGGTGATGATGATGTTGATGATGGTGATGATGCTGATGATGCTGATGATGGTTGGTGGTGATGACGACGATGACGACGATCAGGGTGATGCTGCTGCTGATGATGATGATGATGATGATGACGATGCTGATGCTGATGCTGATGATGATGATGATGAGTGTGATGGTGGTGGTTGTGTGGGTGATGATGATGTTTATGATGGTGATGATGCTGATTATGCTGATGATGATGATGATGATGATGATGATGATGATGATGATGATGATGGTTGTGGTGGTGATGACGACGACGATGATGACGATTATGGTGATGCTGCTGCTGATGATGATGACGATGCTGATGTTGATGATGATTCTGATGATGATGGTGATTCTGATGATTACGATGGTAATGCTGATTGTGCTGCTGCTGCTGATGGTGGTGGTGGTGGCTTCGTTGATGATGGTGATGGTGGTGGTGTTGGTGGCTTTGGTGGTGGGTGCGAGTGCTAATGCCGGTACTGACGATATTTATGATGATGATGATGATGATGAACATGTTGATTGTGAGGATGTTGATGATTTTGATGATGCTTGTGATGGTGATGATTGTGGTGCTGCTGATGATGACGACTATGCTGTTGCTGATGATGCTGCTGCTGCTGCTGCTGATGATGATGATGATGATTATGGTGATGGTGATGGTGATGGTGGTGGTGTGGGTGTTGTTGTTGTTGTTGATGATGGTGGTGGTGATGATGATGATGATGATGGTGGTGGTGGTGGTGGTGGTGGTGGTGTTGATGCTGCTGCTGCTGCTGATGATGATGATGATGATGATGATGATGGTGATGATGATGGCTGTGATGGTTGTGGTGGTTGCGGTTCGTATGAGGGCCAGGGCGTTGGCGAAGGGGCAGCGCTTGATCGGAGCCTGGGCTACAGACGAGCAGCCACATCGTGTGCTCAAGAGCCCACGCGGTCGAGAATCCTCGCCCTCGCCCTCGCTCGATACTCCGGTCCTCCTCCTCCTCCTCCTCCTCCTCCTCCTCCCCCTCCTCCTCCCTCTCCTCATCCTCCTCCTCCTCTTCCTCCTCCTCCTCCTCCTCCTCCTCCTCCTCCTCCTCCTCCTCCTCCCCCTCCTCCTCGATTCTCCTCTACCTTCCTCGGACCTTGATCCCCCCTCGAGCCTCCTCGATCCCCCCTTCGATCCCCGATCTCTCCCCGATCCTCCTGCGCCCCCCCCCCCCCCGAGGCATGTACGCACGGCTGAACGCCTACCGCAGGGAGCGGGTGCTGCTCGTGTGACCCCGCCGCTCGCAGCAGCCGCGCCCTCACCCCCCCGTGGCGGGCGGGTGCGGGGCATGCCGTGCGCCGCCGGCTCTGTCTGGGGGGGGGGCGGGGGGGGGGGGCGAGGGACACATTACCAGCCTCGAACCTATCCCTATCCCTAAGATTGACACGCCAAAAGGCGATGACAATCTTAGGGATGCGCCCTCAAAACCTCAAGGGATCCTTGGGATTGGCATCGCGATGAGGCGATGCCAATCTTAGGGACAGGGATATGTTCCAGGCTGGTAAACCCAGAGATCCGGCGCATTGAAACATCAAGAAGGAGCTGTTTTCGCAGTTTTTGGCCTCCAGGGGCCGTCGCCAGGCCCCAGGACCGTAAACAAATCGACTCAGGAGGAAGAGCCGGTCCTGGGGAATGGGTCGAGGGTTCCGGGGTCCCCGCATTGAAAAAATCACGACATCGGATCTCTGGGGAGGAGGGAGGAGGGATGGGGGTAGGGTGGGGAGGAGAGGGAGGAGCTCGGATGAGGAGGGAGGGAGGGAGGGAGGAACATGTTGGCTGGTGGATGGTGCGGCCCATGGTGGTCGTCACCTTGGTGTGCTGGCAGGAGAAGGCGGAGGTGCGCTTCGGGGAGGGGGCACGAGGCGGGAGCGAGGACGAAGGCCGGGCCGTCCAGGGCCATGGAGGCACCGGGCTCAAGATCCAGGGGGCCTCGGCCCGGGATCTCCAGGCGCGTCCCTGGGGCGAGTCCTGGAGGCTCCAGCTCGGGGGCAGCGGCAGGGTGGGATGCGCTGGAGGGGGGATGCGCCGACTGCCGATGTCGCCCAGTCGTCCTCCTATTAGCGGGGCCCAGCAGCCCGCCCCGTCCAGGAGCGTGCGGCTTCGTTCTCGACGGCCTATCGCCGACCTGTGGGCGACTGATCGCCGCTCCTAGGCCGGCGTTCCCCCCCCCTCCCTCCCCCGAGCCGGCCCCCCTCCACCGTTCCCCCTTGAACATCGAGGCAAAGCTGGAGATCTCCAGGGAAGGCTGGAGCACATCGTGGTCGCTCCAGCGCGGGTGGGGGGAGTCCACTGGAGGTCTGGGGATGCACTCGTACTTGGATCACCGCGGGGGTTGCTAGGTGGCCAGAGGTGTTGTGCAGTGGATGCTAAGCTGGGTCGTATCTGGCCTAACCTGGCATGTAACTGGGTTGCCAGTGCCCTAAGTGGCTCAGGGGGATTTGATAACTTTGCTAAGTGGGCAGGGCCCATTTCGCCTGGATCTGCGTCCCCTCGAGGCGTTCTACGCAAGGCTGGGCCAGATACAACACAGCTTAGCATCCCCTTAGACCCCTTTCATTTCCCTTAGCAACCCCTGCGTTCATCCAAGCAGAAGATCTTCCTCTTCGGCATGCTGTCGGGCCCAAGGTGCCCCTACCGTCAGCATGCACGCCGTGCCACGGAGCGGCCTCGACGTGCGCGGTGGCAGCAAAACGACCCATGTCGAGGACCAGGACGCCCACCGGGCAGCCATGGGTCGAGACCTCTGGGCAGTGCGAACAGCCCGACCCAGACGTCCGACGCCTCGAGTTTTTCGAGACGCGGGCCCCCCGACCTCCCGACCAATTCCCCAGGACCGGTTTTTCACCCTGGGCCGTTTTGTTTCGGGGGCGGCAAAGAGGGGGGTGATGACTAGGGGAGGGTGGATATCATGGCGGGGGCCATGATATTTCCCCAGATTTCATGGCGCCTCTCTTTATTTCATTACGTCCCTGGTCCCCCTCCCCTGGGCCGCGCACATGCCGCCGGCCATGATTTGCAACGCCCCCTCTTGGACGCCCCCCTCCTGGCCGCTCCCGATTGCTGGCGGCCCCGAGGCCCGGGCGAGGGCCCCGAGAGGCCGAGCACGACGAGAACTTCCTCCGTGCCGATATTTTTTGTTTCCAGGCGCCGCCGCGCGGGGGGGTGGCCGCGAGGACGAGGGGAGGATGAGGAGGAGGAAGAGGAGGAGGAGGAGGAGGAGGAGGAGGAGGAGGAGGACGAGG